TTTTTTTAAGAAAAGCTGACTCACACAGTCTTCACAAATATTCAGACATACATCAATGTTTTATTTTGGATTTGTTCTTAGGTAAGAATAGAATTTATACACACGCAGGACCACACCCATGCACATTTGAGTGCTCACAAGTTTGCGTGAAAGAATTGCTTATCGTGTTTTCTTCAATTCTAGTTGTGTGATAAGATTTAAACTACAATAACATGATCATTTATGATACAGTAATTCTTCCACATTTGCAAACTTGACATTCAGAGTTTCAGTTATTTGCGAGTAGGACGTGAGGAATTTAACAAATATTATGAAGCTTGCTGAAAGATCACAGAAACACACAGATGACACGTAAGCCAAAAAACAATACTGAAAATGATACAGATCACATAAATCATTAAATATATAAATATTACTGATACTGTCACGCCCCGCTCCGTCCGCTCCTAGTGTGTGCCACGCCCCCTCATTATCCACGTGTGCTTCCCCGATCGTGCCCAGCTGTTTCCTGTTTCTTTTGCCTTGTCCTGTGTATATGAGTCCGCGTCTCCCCATGTATGCTAGATCCGTCATTGTAGTGTCCGTTGATGTCCGTACCTGTCAGTCCGTTCGTGACAAATAAACCCGTTTACCTGACTTCCTGGCTGCTCTCGCCTGCTTCCCTGCTCGCCTCCAAGCCGAACGTGACAGATACATAATAGTAAAAGTCTTATCTTGGACATGCCGTACATATTTGTCTTGCGACCAGCCTCACTCACACGTTGTCTCTGTGACCGTGGAATCTCGCGTTTCTTGCAGTAACATTTCAGTGCCATTTTATTTGCATTTATAATAATGGGTCCTAAACATAGTGCTGCCAGAGCGTGCAGTAATAACTGTGTACATACATGGGCATAGAGGGTTTGTATATTATAGAAAAAGGTCTAGATAGGAAATGACTATTTGACATGCAGGGTGTACAGTACTGTTTAAGAAACTGGTAATAAATAGAATCTTTATGTTACTGTTTAGGATAGCAGGCTGTTCTGGGTTGAAGTTATGGGTGCCCAAGTATTATATGCGAATTTCCATACTGCTGAACGTTTGCGAATGTGAAGGGGTTACTGCAGTCTTAAAAAACACTTTAATAACTACAATTTTAAATAATTATTAAACTATAAATATAATTTTATAATTATTAAAATATTTTGTGACTATTAATACTTAGCAATTAATAATTACTACAGAATGAGTAACAGCATCCCATACATCTTTGTGTTATTTTATATCCACTACTAATGCTACTAAATATGACCTGTTTGCTGTTCAAGCATAGGAAACTTCAGAAGGTGGAGTTCCACAGTCTTTAGATTTTCATTTGACTTCATCCTGACTTCTCTCTCAACTTTTCTTATTAATTTGTATTTGTGATTTCTTTGTATGCACACTAACCCTGGAAGGCTTCAGGCTCTTTTATTGGAATTGGCAGGATATTGATATATGCTAATTAAGAACAACTAGCATGTCCTTTCGATTTACGAGGAGAATATGATTCATCATTATAAGAACACATTTACGAACAATTCTGGTGTCTGAATGCAGGGTCAGGCCTGGGGCAGGGTGGGGGGTCAGTGTCCAACGGAGATGTGATTATGGACTTGAAACAGCTAACTTCTAATCATTCACCCAGAAGCTTAACCTGTTAAGCCACACACTACACCCCAAAATAATGACACAATATGACATGCACTAAAAAAAAAGAAAACCAAAAGGACACTAAGAGTAAAAGATAAAGTAACATACTGTACTTGTTGTTGAACACCTCAAGAGGCACCTTTTCTTCTAGGTCTGACAGTTGAATTTCTTCCCGATCTTTTCCATTTTCCCAGAATTCGAAGGCAACCTGCTTAATTCTCTCTCCACCTGCATGACTGTACAAATGATAAGAAGCCATTCCTACTTATTTTCACTGAACTGAGCTCTTAAATAAAAAATGCACATGAAAATGCCAAACCTCAAAAACAAACACAAGGGGGTCACATGGCTCCGGTGCAGGATGGCGAGTTCAGTAAAACACTCCGTGCATAAAACTAACTCTAAAAACCCTGAAAATAATGTAAACTTTAAGACTGTTCAGTGGGATTATGTCTACTACACCAGTGAGTAAACAGTGTGAAATTTTTACAAGAAAACGCAAAACTGTGACAGAAAAACCGAAATTGCTAACTTCATGTTCACGTCCTCTTTTGGACTTTGTAAACACCATGCTTCCACAGTGGCTCGGAATGTCATCGGATGTATCGTTCACGCTGGAGTTCATCGCATGCTAGCTCCAATAAAGCCAAACCAGCATAGAGTTGTGCTCGTCAGATTTCTTAAGTTTCAGGAGAGGGAATCAGTCTTTCGCTCTTTTAGGAATCGCGAAATCATCCATGAGGGGGCAAGGTTATATCTTACTGAAGACCTCTCATCGGAGACTATTTGACAGCGTCGCGAATTCAACACCGTGAGAAAGCTCTTCATGGACAGAGGTATCTACCGCAGCTTCCATCCTCAGCCTTGTCAAATGAGGATCGTCCATGAGTGAAGGATTCTTCTCTTTTCCTCTCCTAAGGAAGCAGATGAGTTCTACAGCAGCACTTATTTGAATGCTGGATGAATGGAGTGGACAGGTTTCAGACTGAATTTGTTACGAATGAGACTGGTTCCTTTAATGTTGAGTCTATTGAAAGCCTAATACTGTATTTTTTGCTTTATCTTTATCTTTTGACAGTGGCTGAAGACTGGTCTCTGTTTTTTTTGTACAATAATTAGAATAGTTAAAATATTGAAGATTTGCTAGATGAAAATTACTCCCCACTTCATAAGCTCATAGAGGACATTGATAGATGGAATCTTTTGCCTCTTTCTCTCCTTGGTAGGATAAATTCAAACTAATATTCTACCAAGATAAAATTATCTATTTCAGTCTGTACCTTGTTATTTAAGCACTTCATTTTTAAAACCTATAAACGGGTTTGACCGGACTCGACTAAGAGAAGACACCTCATCTGACTGCATTCTGCCACAATACGCTGAGGGCACGACGGCCAGGTAGGCACAGGAGTCCAGGAATAGGGGTAAACCATGAACACATTGGAAACATGAACACGAACGAGGCTGAGACGTAAATGACAGGACTAGTGAAACATACTCTGACGCGCACTTAAATATACAGGACTAATGAAAACAACTCGAAACAGCTGAGGACACGGGGATTCCACACGAGGCTAAGGAGGGGGCGTGGCACACAGGAAGATTGGACGAGCAGGGTGTGACACATGCATACCAGAGAAATCAAACAACAGTAGACAAATAAAAGGTAGAGGCAGACAAACAAAGGAATTCTCTTTAAGTTACTCACCTAAGAAAAATGAAAATAGTGCGTCGATAGGACACACCATCCTGGTTGTCATAGTAATCCAGGAATGGCTTAATACTGTCAATAAGTCCAGGGGGCATCTTGTCTATTTCATCAAATATAAACATAGAGCGAGCACAACTGGACACATTCCCTTTGATCCACTGCTGCAGTTGGGTCTACGTAAACACCATTGGAAAGCAGGAGAAATGCATGTCAGTGAAAGCCTGGAGAGAGTCAGGATGGACACGTGCACTACAATGTGAAACCTGGAAGTTATCATAGCTTGATTGGTACTGAAATACAAAATCCAAATTCACAGTCAACTACAGCCACTGCGTCACATGAGTAAAGAACAAATTCAGCAGGGGTTATGTGTAATATCTGCCAATATTACCCTCTTGTTCTTACTTTGTAGATGTCAATTTCACTTGAATATGGAAAGTGAACAGTGGCCACGAACTGGTGCACAAAGCTGCTGGACATCCCTTTTTTGTAGATATTGGAGGCTAGGAGTTGACTGACGAAGCTCTTCCCAGTTCCCGTCAATCCATGGAGTGAAAGGACAAGAGGCTTTTTTGGAGTCTTGTTGTTTGCAAAGTCGGTAATTGCCTTCAGTAAAACCTTTGACGCTATGTGCTGCCCGAAGAACTTCTGTTCAAGGTCGACTTGGAGCCCTGTGATACGACAGTTTTGCCATTTTCAATCAATTACCTATTCAAATAAAGAACTATCAATCACCTGTCAAAGCTGACACTGCAGCTGGGTGTCATAAATAACAAAATATGCATTTAGCCGATGTGACTGTAACATTTTATAAGATACGAAGTAGTATTAATGTCAGCAAATAAATAAGTGCTTAATACGGCCGGTGCGATTAGTCGACGCTGAAAATGCGTCGCCATAAATATTTTAAATCGACGTCTTTTTTATTTTAATACAAATAACATTATGATTACTAAAAGGCTTCAATTCACTATAACAAATATTTTTCTTGAATATTACTACGTAATAATGTAGTTTAAATCGTCACAGAATAAAGAGTTGGTTTTACACTGCAAAGTTACAGAGGCACTAGCCTATTCATGATTATTAAATTATCATTAGAACAGAGAGTTTTTAATATCTTTTGTCCTTGTAGCTGCTAAATACACCCATTATTGAAGCCATAAAATTGTCAGCCTGCTACTTTAGAATCTCTTGAACAATTGTTTAAGAACATATTTAGGAAATCTAGGCTTATTCTACGTGGATTGACGATGCCAGTGTGTGTTCGGGCGCATTGGGCTTGATGGGGCCAGTTTGATTATGGTAAACTGAAACTGAAACGAAAACGGGCACCAAATAAAAGAAAATAATTCGTGAACTGAACTAAAAATTAAAACTATATTTACCAAAAATAACTTGTCGGAATTAATCAGCCAAAAGTAGCGCCACACCACCAACATCTTTTTACCCTTTTTATTCACAATTTCTCGTCTTTTAAAATACAATATGTATCCGATTAATATTTTAGGCATACTGCTAATTTGCCTATCTAATTGTGAGTGAAAATAATATCCGTATAATGCAGAAAAGCCCATTATCTAAAGCCCTGCAATAACATACTTTGTTGTTGTAAAAATAAAATTAAACTAGACGGTCTGTTTAACTTTCAGGAAGAAAATATACGGGTCACTAATATATAGTGACCTACCGCAAGCCACCCATAGCTAACTTCTTAAAAGTACAAAGACGGCTTAGTGGGACAAATAAAACAGTTAGGCCTACTTATCTGTTCTCTAAAATATCCAGCTGGTGATTATATACCCACCCGTTGAATTAAAATCAATCCACGAGTCATCGCATGATTCTTGAAAAAAACTGTATGTAGTCTTCCCTAATTTTACAATTTCTGCCAAAACCTTTCTCGCTTCTGTAAATGGTTCAAATGCATTTACGTTAACGAAAACGGCCGTTACTAAAAACAGTGCAGTGAATGTTTTTTGCATTTTTATGGCTTACGATACATCTTTTAAAATAAATTAACTAGTATACGCCGTGCAAAGACAAAAAACAACTACGGAAGCGGGGAGGCAACTGGTGGACTTTCCTGTTCTCACTAGTGACGCACCGACTGTCACACCGGGAGTCACTATAGTGGTGGGCGGATCGGTCCAAGTATTGATAATATCAGTAATAATGTTAGTATCGATATTGATCAATACCAGTTTAATAAATGAACTCCGGCTGTCTATGTAAGCGCTGCCGCTCACAATTGCCGCTCCCCGCTGTCACAACGCAGAACAGGCTTTGGTCCTCTTGTGTTTTGATGTTGTACCATCACGTGACTCAGCGCCGCCAGGCAAGCAAACAGGCGCACTTGCACAACACATAGACAATACGGAGCATCATGGGCGTAAATTACGGGGGATTGTAGCCCCCTCCCAGTAAATTAAAACCAGCTAATACAACCCCCAATAATCATGTTTCCCCCCGGGAATCCCCCGTGATGGGTGGAGACCTCAACCCCCACAATGTTCCAGCCAAAGTTACGCCCTTGCGGAGCATAAGAAATTATGGCAGAGAGAAAGAGGAATGCTGTGTGCGTTCTTTAGTTATAATAAAGTATCTATTTACTTGTAAACTTTGCCCAAATTGTGTCCTGGCTAATTAATAAACAACTCACAAAAACACTTGAAGGTAATAAAAATTAATTCAGCTTTAGCAAATTGATGATGCTTCCACCTTAATTATTAAAAAGTATCGGTATTGCTATCGGCGATACTGGCCCTGTAGATATTAGAGTCTGCTTTTGGTTGTTCTCCTGTTTGGTTTGACCCCTTGTGATCCCTTTGTTGTGTTTCCCTTTTGTATTCATTTTGCTAAATAAAAAACCCTTTTTGCCTGAGAGCCATTACATGCCATAACATTGACAGGTTATTTATGGAGCTGGTAGGGAGGAGAAAACCATAAGAGAAGATGATCACCATAAATATCCAAAAGGAAACAAGCGAAACAAAACACCCACAAAAAACACAATTCAGGTCTGTGAAAGTGCATTAGACTTCATTTAGGGACGCGAGAGGATGGTGATCAGTGAAAACCACAACTGGATTGGTACCATCTCCCACATAAACCTGAAAATGTTGCAAAGCGAGTAACAGGGCAGAGTTACAGAGAGACAGAGTTACGTTCATCCTCCCAAAAAAATTCTGTTCTTAGATAAACCTTGTGAAGAGGTACCCTCACAGTACCCAATTCAGTACCTTGAACCAGGACATGGCTACAATAGGCCGAGTTAGAAAAGGGCAATACAGTATCATGCATAAACGATTGAGCAGCACCAGTGTCACGCAAGATAGTCACAGGACTCTTCACATCAGTTTCACTAAGCGAAACAAAACCAGTGAGAACAAATGGCTGAATGGCGGGTTTGACAGGGCAGCAAAGTATTACACAGGTCTACAAAAAAAAAATAATTTCAGGTGCCAAGGTTTTTTAATTGATTTAGGGTATTTTGAGGGTGCTCAATTCAAAAGTCCCATTACTTTTGCTGAAATGGTTCTAGTTTTTTAGATAATGGACATCCATGAAAATAATGCATTCCCCCAATGCGACTTGTGTGTGATAACAGATGCAATAGCTTCTGGTCTGTCTTTTGACTCTTTAACAGTGTCTTAGGTAATGAAATATCCCATATAATTATTTTGTATTCCAATTTGTAGGCCTACAATGCTATAAAAGCGACTTTTTGAAACCAGAATTCAACTGTGAATTTGCAGAGGAAAGAAGTCGGCTATAGTATAAGTTTGTCAACCCAGTCTTGGTTTATACCCAAAAAAGTTCTGTCTTAATAAGTATATAAATACATGTAAACATTATGACTTCATCAAGAAGAGCCTGCATCAACAATCCCAATTTTACTAAATGCATGAATGACACTGAGGCTTCGGCCCGGAAGAGTTTTGTCTCTGTTGTGAAGAACTACTTGGGTAATCACAGAGCAGACAATTATGAAGAATTGGAGCAAGATATGCTTGCTAACTTCAGAAATTTGGGGGTTAATATGAGCATAAAGATGCTCCATAGCCATTTAAACAGATTTCCAGATAACCTTGGAGACTTCAACGAGGAACAAGGCGAGAGGTTCCTCCAGGATATGAAGGTGGTGGAGGAGAGATATCAAGGCAGATGGACATACACATGATGGCAGACTGCTGTTGGAGTCTCCAACGTGATTGTGCTGATGACACACATAAAAGGAAATCGCATAAACAGCGTTTTATGAAGCATTGACATTAATAACAATTAATAACTAATTAATATTGTATTAATTAATCAAATCATACATAATTTTTTCCTGTCACTGTTAGACTCTTTACTTACTAATTGTAAATAAAATAAAAATATTCTTGCAATTACTTAATTAATTAATTAACTATTAAATATCTCAGAAACTAGAGCCAATCTGGTAAAACCGGTCATATTAACACAAATTCATCAGCAAGGGTAGCGGCTTCCGCAAGAGAAGTGACCTTCTGTTAATTTATTTGCACAGATGAGCATTGTCGAGAAGAAAAGCATTACTGTAGCCTTTTAATGAAAAAGTTACTGTCATTACAGGAGGTTGTGAATGATATCTTCGATTATAAAATGGCATAATAAACAACTAATTAGAGGTTTTTTTAGTCGACTTAGAGCAAGAAAATGAATTTACAGCGAGCGGCTGCTTCTGCTGCACTGGAGACTGGCGACTTTGCCTTTAAATAGAGCGATGATGTCAGGGGAGCCAATCCGTGGCTGGGGGGCAGTTTAGAGCACAACACCTGTTAGCTTCAGGCACCAACATCGATATTTTGACGGAACTGACGGAGACTGAGGGCTAGGGAGCGAAGCATCGTCCGGTGGGTTAGCACCAGCAAGAGCTAACGAAGCAGCGGAACAAGAAGCACCAGGGACGAGCTTATATTGTGAGGCTGAGGGATGGGCTGTAGCTGGCTCATTCTCACTCATTCTTTTGCAGGGCAGCCTCCCTATCCACTTCCATCTCCAAAGCCCTTACCCAAAGGAGTTGAGTTTGGTAATCTTGCCTCTTGATCTCCAATTCAAGCTCCCTAAGCCAAATCTTAAGGAGGATGTCCTCCTTGGGCGAGCCGGGATCCCTGGGATCCATGCGTAGCCGAGACTCCGGACCTCCAGCTTCCGCCATTGTAGGCAACCGGATCAGGCAAGGTGCAACACCCGAGGGAGCTCCAGGCTCTGGCAGGATTCCCTGCTTGACCAGTTCGTCCAGCAGGACCTGCTCAATCTCCCATTTCGAGGCATCGACAGCCTTCCTGCAGCAGTCAAACTGCTCCTTTGTGGGGCACAGGGTGAACTCAAGCAAGTCGAACTTAAATACTAAGTATTTAAGTATTACATACTAATCCTAATCACCAGGAGTTCCCCCTTAAATTTGAATCACAATAAATATGAGACACAAAGGCTGGGTGACAGACAAAACCCAGGGACGATCCCACCCATCCATTCGATGATTGAAAACTGACAGCACGTAATACTAGACACTTTTCTGGTGAGGTTTGTTGGTCTCGCCAAATTGACACAGATGAGACACTAAGTACTTAAGCACAAAAGGCAGAAAATCATCTGAAATCAAATTGATAATCAGTCTATTTATTCTCTAGTCCTGCACACAGCTCAATTACTGTAATCCTTAAGAAATATCTTTTAAAATATCGAATTTAAAAATCAATATTTGCACAGTGGTTTCAGTAAACATTGCAACGCTGTTTTTTATAAGGAACAATTTGATATTAGGGGTACAGATAATTATCCTAGCACTGGACCAAACTATGGATTAACCAAATAATTTATAGTAATAGGACTTGCCAGGAAGTGTCAGTCACCTGTGTTTGCCCTTAACTTTGACTTGATTAATCTGGCAAAGCCAACAAATGCTACTCTTTTTACTTTCCAGAATCTGAAAATTGAGTGTTTTGAATGTTCCCTTTTTAATGGAAAAGTATAGTCAATTGTAGCACAGACTGAATTTCACTAAAATCACTGTGAAATCTGATACCGTACTGCTCTGGTGGGCGAGTGATATTGGCTTTATAAATGACAAAGAAATATTATCTGTGTAAAAGATCATCTTAGTTTCTTGCATAAAATGTACGTGCCATAAATGCCCCAGCACTGCTCACATTGTTTAGTTTATATTTTAAGAAAAATATATATTTTTAAAATATTCAATTCATTTTTATATAGTGCCTTTTTATATAGGCACTTTACATGGATATGTTGTGATACATTAAACATCATTAGAGAGAGTAACACAGAGCGGGGAAAAGGTCAGGGATCCGGGCAGCTCGGGAGCGGGAACGTGGCATCAGGTACAAAAAGGGGTGGACGATCCACTGGCGGCTCCAGGAACAGAAGGGGTTTATTAAATAAAACAGAAGACACTACAAACACAATGAAACCAAAAGGACCACGAGGGGTCAAAACTAAAGGGGATTAATTAACAAAAACTAGGAAGGTAAACAGAATACAGATCTAACCAGTGGCCTGTGGCCTGTACTACGAAGCGGGGTTACTGGCTTATCGGGGTAACTTGTTGGATTTAAGGTAGTCTGGGCAAAATGTAAGTGAGCGAATATGAAGTCCATTTAAACTGTGGTACCTTAAATCCGACAAGTTACC